ACTGGGCAGTTGGAGGCAGTCGCCCTCCAACAACAACGGAGGGCGGAGGAGCGACGCTCACAACAACGAGCGGAGCGCCGGGTGGCTAAAGCACAGCAAGTTGGCACAGTAGGGGGCACAGGTGGTGCATCAGCCAGTCATCTCGGTCATCTCGGTCAGTCGACCCGTGGCACCTGCTGGGTCTGCCCCGTGACCTCCTGCCAGCGGGCGTTCGACACTTCACGTGGTAGCCTCAAGGTGCACTTGGCCTGGCACAAGCATCGTGGTGACGTCACCGCCACTTAGTGGCGAATGGCGGTTGTTGTTGTTGTTGTGTGTGTGTGTGTGTCTGTGTGTGTCTGTGTGTGTGTGTGTACGTAATGTGTGTGCACGAAATGTGTGTGTGTAACATGTCTCTGTGTGTGTACCATGTGTGTGTCTGTGTAAGATGTGTGTGCGTGTGTCTGTGTAACATGTGTGTGCGTGTAACATGTGTGTGTATAACATGTGTGTGTGTAACATGTGTGTAACATGTGTGTGTAACATTTGTGTAACGTGTGTGTAACATGTGTGTGTGTAACATGTGTGTAACATGTGTGTGTGTAACATGTGTGTAACATGTGTGTAACATGTGTGTGTGTGTAGGCGAGCGTGCCGTTTGCGGTGGTGGGCAGTAACACGGTGGTGGACGCCCTGGGGAAGAGAGTGAGGGGACGACTCTACCCCTGGGGCATCGTGGAAGGTGCCTCACCCTCACTCACCCTCACTCACCCTCACACTCACCCTCACACTCGCCCTCACACTCGCCCTCACTCACCCTCACACTCACCCACTCACTCACCCACTCACTCACCCACACACTCACTCACCCACTCACTCACTCACTCACCCACTCACTCACTCACTCACTCACACACTCACCCACACACTCACTCACCCACTCACTCACCCACTCACTCACTCACTCACCCACAGACTCACCCACTCACTCACTCACACACACACCCACAGACTCACCCACACACTCACTCACACACTCACTCACTCACCCACACACTCACCCACTCACTCACTCACACACTCACCCACACACTCACTCACCCACTCACTCACCCACTCACTCACTCACTCACCCACAGATTCACCCTCACTCACCCACTCACTCACCCTCACACTCACCCACTCACTCACTCACACACTCACCCACACACTCACCCTCACACTCACCCACACACTCACCCACACACTCACTCACTCACCCACACACTCACCCACTCACTCACCCACACACTCACCCACTCACCCACACACTCACCCACTCACTCACCCCCCACACACTCACTCACACACTCACCCTCACACTCACTCACCCACACACTCACCCTCACACTCACCCTCACTCACTCTCACACTCACCCTCACACTCACCCACTCACTCACCCACACACTCACTCACTCACCCTCACTCACCCTCACACTCACCCTCACACTCACCCTCACTCACCCTCACACTCACTCACACACTCACCACTCACTCACCCTCACTCACCCTCACACTCACCCACACACGCCCTCACCCACTCACCCACTCACCCACCCACCCACTCACCCACCCACCCACCCACTCACCCACCCACCCACCCACTCATCCACCCACCCCACTCACCCACTCACTCACCCACTCACTCACCCACTCACCCACCCACCCACCCACTCACCCCACTCACTCACCCAAATACTCACCCACCCACTCACCCACCCACTCACCCACCCACTCACCCACCCACTCACCCACTCACCCACCCACTCACCCACTCACCACCCACTCACCCCCCACTCACCCACTCACCACCCACTCACCCACTCACCCACCCACCCACTCACCCCACTCACTCACCCACTCACTCACCCATTCACCCACCCACTCACCCACCACCCACCCACCCACCCACATCACCCACCCACTCACCCACCACTCACCCACCCACTCACCACTCCACCCACCCCACTCACCCACCACCCACCCACTCACCCCACTCACCCACCCACCCACTCACCCCACTCACCCACCCACTCACCCACCCACTCACCCACCCACTCACCCACCCACCCACTCACCCCACTCACCACCCACTCCCACCACCCACCCACTCACCCACCCACCACTCACCCACCCACCACCCACTCACCCACTCCCCACCACTCACCCACCCACTCACCCACTCACCCCCATCACCACCTCACCCACTCACTCACCCACTCACTCACCCATTCACCCACCCACTCACCCACCCACCCACCCACTCACCCACCACTCACCCACCCACTCACCCACTCACCCACCCACTCACCCACCCACCCCCCACTCACCCACTCACCCACCCACTCACCCACCCACCCACTCACCCACCCACTCCACCCACCCACTCACCCACCCACTCACCCACTCACCCACCCACTCCACCCACCCACCCACTCACCCCACTCACCCACCCCACTCACCCACCCACCCCCACCCACT